TATTCCTTTTCAAGATTGCTGTGGCTATTCGGGGTCTTTTTTGGTTCCATATGAACTTTTGAAGTACTTGTTCTAATTCTGTGAAGTATGCCGTTGGTATTTTGATGGGGATTGCATTGAATCTATAGATTGCTTTGTGTAATATGGACATTTTAATGATGTTAATTCTTCCAGTCCATGAACAGGTTATGTGCTTCCACTTTTTTATATCTCCCTCTATTTCTTTTTTCAATGACCTGTAGTTTTTTGCAAATAGGTCCTTTATTTCTTTGGTTAAGTTTATTCCTAGGTATCTTAATTTTTTTGCCAGTGGAGTCTTTTTAAATGTGAGGTTCTCAAGTGGGTTTATCTAGCTGACTTGAAAATGTGAATTTGAATTGGGAGCTAGTTTGTTATTAAAGATAAATATTTGGGCATCACTAACGTATAGTGTTAGTTGGATTCTTGACAGTGGATGAAATAGCCTAATAGGAACATATATAGAGAGAAGTAATGCATGAAGATTGAGTCCTGGAAGCACCAATATTTAAGAATTGGGCAATGGGCAAGGAACCTTCAAATTAGGCAGTTGAAGGCCAGTCAGAGATATCTAAGTAGAGTAGCAGAGAATATTCTCATAAGCATAGAGTGAGACTGTTTTAAGGGAGAAGGAATAGCCAGTTTCGGAGACGTCTTGTTGAATGGAGACTTTTATATTCTTCATTCAAAAGTTTTTTATTCTGTACATTTCTTCCATCTAATCAATCAGCCAGGCACAGTTGTGTTTGAGATGTAGGAGTAATCCAAATGGACAAAAGTCTCTACCTTCAGTGAGCTTATTTTGTAGTGAAGCGTAATAATTAATTAATCAATATTATAAGTAAGTACATAAGTATATAAGTAAATAAGTGTATAGTATATCAATTGAGTAATGGATGCCCTCACTGAGAAAGTGACATTTAAGATCTGAAGAAAGAACATGGTGCAAATCATTTGGAGCAGGGAAATAACCAGAGTAAAAGCCCTGAGGCTGGAGCACTTCTAGGGTATCCTGTGAACAGTAGATGACAGTGTGAGGGGGCAGAGTGGGTGAAGAAGAGGTGAGGAGGACATGAGTTCACAAGGTGGAGGAGATTAGGTCACGTAGGGCTTTATAGGCCATTGCAAGGACTTTTGCTTTTTGACTGAAATGTTGCTATAAGGTTTTGAGCTTAGGAATCTCTTATATGACTGAACATCTTAACAGGCTCACTCTGGTTGCTAAAAAGTGAGTAGACTGTGCAGAATAAGGGTGAAGGCAAAGGAAAAAACAGTAGGTCGTTGCAGTAATCTAATTAAGGGAGTGTAGTGGCTTGACCAGCTTTGAGCTTGGTATGAACACATTACTTTTGGGTCATATTTTGAAGATAGAATATGATCTGCTGAATGACTGGAAGTGGAGTTGAGACAGAGAATCCAGGATGATTTCAAACTTTTTGCACTGAGCACCTGGAAAGATGAAGTTGGAGATAGAGAATACAGGAGGAAGATCAAGACCTGAGTGTTGTGGAAGTTGAATTTAAAGTGCCTCTTAGCTATCCAGATGCAGATGTCAAGGGGCAGTTGCACATACAAATCAGGAATTTAGGAGAGAAGTCTGAATTTCTAGAAGAGAGAAAAGTGGGACTCATGACTGTATCGATGTTTGTAGTCTGAAACTGGGTGAGATTATTTATAAAGTGAATATAGGTAAAAAATATAAAAGACCCACTCCTAAAGTACCCCATTGTGTACTGGTCAGGAAGATGAAGAAAGCCCTGCCAGAGAGACTTAGGAGGAGGAAACAGTAAAATAGGAAAACTGATTTTTTAAAATTTGGCAAATAGGATATTATTGGTGGACTTACCAGGACCGGTGCTAGTAGAGAGGTGGGATCATAAGCCAAAATCAGTGGGCCAAATAGAAACTCGGAGAAGGAAGCTGAAACAGCAACTATATACTTGTAAAAGAAGTTTGATGGTGAGCAGAAACAACTAGATGGTGGGGCACTCAAGGATGATGCTTTTTGTTTGTTTCTTGAAATGGGGAAAACAGATAACTGTCTAGAAAAAAGGGACGAAATCTGTGGCAAACACTTATGGAAATCAGGTGTGGGGGAGGCAGGAAAGGCCATTTCTGGAGCACTGCTGTGCCTTGGTTTGGAGTGGTGGAAAATATATTTTGTACCTAGCAACCGGAGTGATGAATTATCATAAACTGAGATGGAGAAAGTACACTTCTCCTGACTTTTTGTCTACTAGGAATTAAAGCAGAAGTCTTTTTACTGAGACAGTGGGAAATAAGTAAGAATTGATCAAAAGATAGATGATTTTGAGGATGAAGGATAAAAGAATTTTATTTGTTCATTTAGCAAATCTTTATTGACCATTGACTATGTTCCTTGTGTCTGATTCTAGATTCTGGAGATTTAGAGCGAACCAAATGGTTACATTTTTTTTTTTTTTTATCCTCACCCGAGGATATTTTTCCACCCCTTGCACAGATAGAGTGGGAGGGAGAGAGAGGAAGGGAGAGAGAGAGAAACATCGATGTGAAGGGACACATCGAGTGGCTGCCACCCGCACAACCAACCAGGGCCGGGGACAAACTGCAAAGTACGTGCCCTTAGCGGGAACCGAACCCGGGTCTCTCCGGACCGCAGGCCGACGCTCTAACCGCTGAGCCAAACTGGCCAGGGCCAAATGGTTACATTTTGATGTTGCCCTAATGGGGTTAATATTCTTGTGAAGTGTGAAAGTGTATGTGCCTGAAGGCTCTGATGTGGGCGGCAGAAGGAACTAGATTACCTGCTGAGACAGGGATGAATGGGCTCAGGTAGACTTCTAAGGAGAGTAGTAATAAATGGTTTATATCAGTTGCTAAAGGGCTTTGGGAAGAGTCCAGCAGAGACTAGAGGCTGCATATTTATTTGTTCACTAGCCAGAAAATATGATATGGCAGTTTTCTCTTTTAGTACTCTAAAGCCTAGAAAAAGGTATGAAGAAAATAAATAGCTTAATGGGACAGTATTGGGAATTGTGAGAGTGAATATGGAGGCCTTGCAGACCAGCACCCCAGTGATTTACATTTTCTTTTCTTTAATTGTACTTCACAGTTCAAATAATATAATCCCATAGAAAGGGTGACAAAAATACATTGGCACTGTTTCTTTAATTGGAATTCAAGAGTTCATAGAAAATAGTCAGTAATATAAAATGGTAAAGTAAATAAACTTGGTTTTCTACTACTTGCTAACATGTAGCCTATAAGAATTACTTAGCTGTCTTTCTCCTCAGTTACCTTTTTGATGACCGGGCCTCTAAGATTCCTGTGTTGGCAATGGTAATTCACCTTTAGCTTGAGTTCTTTTACTATCTCAGTGTATCTAGCCTACAAATATTATTCTACTGAAATATTTTAGTTTGAATTATTTATAAGGACGTAACCAGTATAGCAGGTGGTTCAAGGCGTCAGTGTTCATTTCTGTAATGTAAGTGTTCTGACGTCAATCCTGTGCCAACCCTCACTGACATTATTATAGCTGGGGTGGAAACATGCCTTTAAGCACATATATTTATTTGTTTTCTTAGAATGTAATGGCTCTACGTTCTATCAGGCCAGGAATTCAATGATTCCATTTCATGTCATTTAGTAAATTTTAGGGACTGTTTTCTTATCACCTTTAGTAATTGGTGTAAGTAGAATGGTATTCATGAAAATAAGAAATAATTCTTATTAATTTTGTTTTTTACCTCTACTTTTAGGTTCTAAAGTCTAATGAATGTAATCACTTGGCTCAGGCCTCACTCCTTTCCTATTAACCACCCCCCTCGAAATACAGTGTAACTCTTATTGCATGAACTTGAAGTGTCTAATTGTTATATGTCTACAATGTGGAAGCAGTTCCTACCAAATTATGTGATACCATGGGAATTTGCTTACATAAAATGTGTAAAGTATAAAATTAACTTTGTGTAGTAGACTAATAGATCATTTTTCTTAGGTTTGGGGAAGGGCGTGAGTGATTGTTTTAAGTATTTATGACACTAAACAAAGACTTACTGGGCTGTTTAGAATGTTGAAGTTGAAGATAAATTTATTTTCAAAAATCTATTTTCTTGGGTTGTATCATTCTATTCAGTAAGTGGTGATCTTTTTTCCCATTGAAGTTCAACTCTTTCACTATAGGGGTAATGTTATGGTTGGATTGGGGGAAGTTATTTCTGCCTGTTTAATACTAAAAATGAATTAAGCTTTTTCATATTGAACATGCTGCTATTAGTAGGCCATAGGATTTAATTAATTTTAAGTTAGTATTTTTATTTTTCATATACTTATTTGTGGTTTTTCTGTGCCTTTTTTACATAACTAGCTGGTGTGTGGGGGGGTGTAACCAAGTGTTAGAACATTGATAATTGGCCCACATGGAGAAAGAATCAATGGTGTTGGCCTTTTAAATCCGGTTTGACAAATACTGAGACCTACACTGCAGAAGGCACTGTGCCAGATACTGGGGAAGACTGATTGTTGTAATTTATTGTAATCAGTTACGCTAACATCACACACAACAGAATGATGTCCAGGAAGTTCTGGTTTCATGAATTTCAGGCAACATATTAACTTTGATTTATTTAAGAAATCAACTAAAATAGGCCTTGTCTTACTTTATCATGTTTTCAAGAGTTTCACCATCCCTTTCTAGGAAACTGGACATTTTATTATCAAGAAATGTAGGCTGCAAACTTCTACCCGGTCAGGAATTCAGTAATTCCATTTCCTGTCATTTAGTAAAATTTAGGGACTACTTTCATATCACCTTTAGTAACTGGTGTTAAGTAGAATGGTACTCATGAAAATAGGAAAAAAGTCTCATTAATTTGTTTTTATCTCTACTTTTATAATGTAGAGTGAGTTTCAGTCCTAATTAAGAATGAATCTTCTACATATCCAACATCAATACTAAAATGAAAAGTAAGTCACATGTATTTCTTGTAATTTTATAGCGTTTTGAACTCCAAGATTCAGGAAGTTCTTTGCTTCCTAAAGAGATTGTGAGAGTGGAGAGGACAACTGAAAACCACATCTCCCAGGCTTCCGTGACTGTCCGGATTGCAGACAAAGAGGTGACCATTAAGGTAATGAGTCAGAGACTATACTGTCTTTTTAAAAAAAATTGATTTTAGAGAGAGAAAGAGAAAAAGAGAGAGAGAGAAACATCTATCAGTTGCCTTCGTACATGCCCTGATTGGGAACTGAACCCACAACTGGGTATACATCCTCACCAGGAATCCAACCCGCTACCTTTCAGTGCGCAGGGTGATGCTCCAACCACTGAGCAACCCAGCCAGGTATAGAGCTCATACTTTTTAAGATGTGTCTGGTTCTGCCAATTTTTTTTTTTTTTTTTTTTTTTTTGGTACGTATCCCTAGTGGGAACCAAACCCAGGACTCTCTGGTCCGCAGGCCGACGCTCCAACCGCTGAGCCAAATCGGCCAGGGCTGGTTCTGCCAATTTTTATGACCTAAATTGGGTGTGTGGTCCCTTTATTATTCTTCTTTGGCTCTATAGCATCACATCTATATATCTGCATCTATATTTATCTGTCATGTATGTTTTAAACTGGAAAAGTTCAGGAGAAACATATGGATAGTCTTTTATCAAAAACAAAAAGTTGACCTTTGAGAAAATGAAGTTAAGTGTTGATTAATGAAAGCATTTTGTAGTCTTGAATTTTTGGTAAGAAACAGTATTTTCAAACATATTTTAGCAGCTAGGGAACACGCTTCTTTTTTTTGTTAATCCTCACCTGAGGATGTTTTTCCGTTGATTTTTAGAGTGGGGCAGGGGGAGAGAGAGAGAGAAACATCTATGTGAGAGAGACACATAATTTGGTTGCTTCCCACATGACCCTGACTGGGGCCAGGGATCAAACCTGCAACCCATGCCCTTGACTGGGAATTGAACCTGTGATGCTTCGGGTTGACACTCTAACTGCTGAGCCAAACTGGCCGGTATGGGAACACTATTTTTAAATAAAATATTTCTTAACCACATGATACAATTGAAAGAGCTAGTCTAGTTGAACAGTTTTCAGAGGAGGAGAATGATGTTTGGTCATAGAACTCCATTTGCTTGCTCTGCCTTTCTTTTAACCCTTTCTTTGAGGTCTCTAAGAACTCTAAGAGGCGATGGGAGACTATCTCTGGGAAACTATCTCTAGGAGACAGAGCGTGGAAAAGGCTGACTTAAATAAATGTTAAGTGAATGTAGGAAAGAAAAGGTTTGTCTTCTTATGTTGTGACAGACCAAACTTTAATTACAGACTTTTTGGTGTGTTTTAATGTGATATCATTAATACTTATTCATGTTACTGTTTTCTTCATTCATCAGACTGAACATTGATTATGTATACTATGAGCCAGGCTCTGTTAAGCTTTACTAGTGCTATTGTATAGCTACTGGGGACAAGTCACTGTATTTGTCTCTACATATATTATGCTGTTAAATTCCCCAGTAACCCTGGGGTTAAATTTTATTATCTCCCTTTTATAGATTAGAAAATTGACATAAAGAGGGTAATCAATTCAACCATGGTCACTAGCTAGGAAATATCACAGCTAGGACTTCTGGACAGGATTATTTTCCACTACACCTTTCTGTCTCCTTCAGATGAATGACCTCACCAAGCTGATGGTCGAGGATACAGGTGGATAAGTAAGGACTGCACTGGAACGGCTATGGGAATATAGAGAAGGAAGTAATACAAGGAGTCAGGAGGAGTAGAAAAAGTTTTAGAGAGGAAGTGGGATTTGAGCTAAGTCTTAAAGTATGACATAAGAGTTTTCCAGTGGCCCAGGAGTGAAAAGATGATAGGACATTTCAGGCATTTAAAACTATGTTCAGGTTTCATTATTTTCTTCCTTGTAGTGGTAGCTTTTTAACTTCACGGCTCCCAGTCCCAGTTAGCCTTGTATGTTACCACCAGGGTGTTACCACCAGGGTGATCTTTTTTTTTTTTTTATCCTCACCCAAGGACATTGTTTTTTGTCCATTTTTTGTTCAGATAGAGTGGGAGGGAGAGAGAAGAAGAGAGAGAGAGAGAAACATCAACGTGAAAGGGACACATCGAGTGGCTGCCACCCGCAAGACCAGCCAGGACCGGGGACAAACTAAATCTGGCCCTGGCCTGTTTGGCTCAGCAGTTAGAGTGTCGGTCTGGGGTCCAGAGAGACCTGGGTTTGGTTCCCTCTAAGGGCACGTACCTCGGTTGCAGTTTGTCCCCGGCCCTGGTTGGTCGTGTGGGTGGCAGCCACTCGATGTGTCCCTTTCACGTTGATGTTTCTCTCTCTTCCTCTCTCTCCCTCCCACTCTATCTGAACAAAAAATGGAAAAAAAAGTCTTCGGGTGAGGATAAAAAAAATAAAAATAAAAAAAAAATAAAATTCAAATCTGATCTTGTCAATTCCAAACTTAAAATTCTTTAGGGTTTATGTTATGTATAGTATGGTCAAAGTCCAGAGTCCTCAGCAGAGCATGGAAATCTTCTCCTGATAAAGTCCTCAGGAGATTAATAAGGAGGAGATAAGAAATAAAAGAAGAAGTAGGTATGAGGGATGGGAGGAGAGATTTTAAGAACAGATTCTTCGTAGTGGTTAATTAAAACAAGAGTGGAAAAGGATTTGTAGGCATGGATTTTAAAAGTCAGCAGGTGATTGGTGAATTTGGAGAGTCCCGGAGGACTGATTTTAAATTCTGTACTTATAACTGGAATTTGGATAAAACCTTTCATTTTCAAGTGGTGACATTGTTGTTATAAGTTATAAATAGCATGGAAATGACATGATTCTTATGAAAATGTTTGCCAGCATGGGGCTTTAATTTTAGAGGGATGATTGATTTGTTCATGATCATCAGATCTGTGAATGAGAAAATAGTTGTTCTATTGAAAAATCAAAAACAGCATAGAATTGAATTGAGCAAGAAATTAATAGGGCTTAACTGGCAGTCATGTGCTTTCATTTACAAATGTTTTGAGATAAATATATGCATATTATATTTACTTCTCTTTAATTACAGGTGCCAGCTGGAACCAGGCCATTCAGTCAACCTGGTGCATCAGAACGTTTTATACAAACTTTAAGCCATAAACAAGTACTGGCTGAAATGATACAGTCTCACATGGTTAAAGACATATGTTTAATTGGAGGAAAAGTAAGAATGGCAGCCTCACTGCAAATTTCTGTTTCCTGACTTTTGGTTGTTTTGACTAATCCCTTAAATGATTGTGTTTTCATTTGTAGGGTTGTGGTAAAACAGTCATGGCTAAGAACTTTGCAGACACCTTAGGATACAACATAGAACCTATCATGCTCTATCAGGTACAATGTTCATTTTTAGCAGTTGGACTATAAATATGTACGTTTGGACCATCAGTAGAACTGATAGATATTTTCCCTTAACTTATGACCTATTAATTTTGGTGTAGATACGTAACTGAAATAGCAATCAAATTGGAGTGCAGTTATAATTATTTGGAGCTTTGAAAGTGCGTTCTAGGATATCTGATATACACAACATGCCAGGGTCAGTTTTTTCAGGGAGGTTCATTTTATGTGCATGCGCATACACACAGTACCTTTAATCATACTTTGGAAATCTAAACAAAATGGGTTTTAGCAGCAGTGGGAGATAATTAGGTATTCATGAAATAGATTACTTTTTATTGTGGTAAAATATACATAAAATATATCATTTTAATGTGTACAGTTAATTCACATTAAGTACATTCACGGTGCTGTATAATCATCACCACTATATCTATTTCTAGAACTTTTTTATCATCCCAAATAGAAGCTGTATACCTATTAAATAATAACTTTCAATTCTTCCCTTTCCCCAGACTCTGGTAACCTCTATATAATTTTCTGTCTCTGTGAATTGGCTTATTCTAGGTATCCCATATACTTTTTATCATTTTGTTTCTAGCTTATTTTACTTAGCATGTTGTTTTCAGTATTTAGCCATGTTATAGCATATAGCAGAATTTCATTCATTTTTATGGCTGAATAATATTCTCTTGTAGGTATATATCACTTTTGTTTGTCCATTCATACAGTGATGAATTTTGCCTATTGTAAATAGTTCTACTATGAACATTGTTGTACAAGTTATCTGTTTGAATCCCTTGGTGTATACCTAGGAGTGGTATTGCTGAATCATATTGTAATTCCATGTTTAACCTGTTGAGTCCACAGTAGCTGCACGATTTTACACTCCCACCAGCGGTGCATAGAGATTCCAATTCCTTCGTGTCTTTGTTAATACTTATTTTATACTTTAGCCCGGCTGGCGTGGCTCACTGGTTGGGCATCAACCTATGCACCAAGAGGTTGCCAGTTCGATTCCCGGTTGGGCACATGCCCAGGTTGTGGGCCAAATCCCCAGTGGGGGGCATGCAGGAGGTGGCCAGTCAATGTTCTTTCTCATCGATGTTTCTATATCTCTTCCTCTCCCTTCCTCTCTCTCCAAAATCAATAAAGAAAAAATGTTTTAAAAATACTTATTTTATACTTTATTATAGCCATCCTAATGGGTGTAGCTCATTGTGGTTTAGATTTGCATTTCCCTAATTACTGATGATACTGAGCATCTTTTCATGTACTTATTGGCCATTTGTGTATCTTATTTGGAGAAATGCCTATTTAAGTTTCTTGCCAGTGTTTTAATTGGGTTGTCTTTTTTGCGATTGAGTTGTAGTTCTTTATGTATTCTGAATATTAACCAACTCTCAGATATATGATTTGCAAATATTTTCTCCCATACTGTGGGTTGTCTTCTCACTCTCTTGATAGTGTCCTTTAATGCACAAAGGTTTTAATTTTGATTAAATCTAAATTTTCTTTTTGTTGCTTATCTTTTGGTGTTATAGTTAATAAATCATTGCCAAGTCCAATGTCATGAAGTTTCCTCTGTGTTTTCTTCTAATAGTTTTAGGTCTTACATTTACATCTCTGATCTATTTAGAGTTAATTTTTTAAAAATATGTTTATTTTTAAATAGAGAGAGGAAGGGAGAAAGAGATAGAAACATCAATGTGAGAGAGAAACATTGATTGGCTGCCTCCTGCACGCACCCCGCTGGGGATCAAGCCCGCAACTCAGGCATGTGCCCTGACTGGGAATCGAACCAAGACCTCTCAGTTTGTGGGATGATGCTCAATCCACTGAGTCACACCAGCCTGGCAGAGTTAATTTTTGTATATGATATAAAGTAAAGGTCCAGCTTCAATCTTTTGCATGTGAATATTTAGTTTTCCTAGCACCATTTGCTGAAAAGACTGTCTTTTCCCCATGGGATGGTCTTGGCATCCCCGTCAAAAATCAGTTGACCTTATATGGGAGGGTTTATTTCTGGGCTCTCTATTCTAGTCCATTGGTCTGTATGTTTGTCATTATACCAGTATCACACTGTTTTGATTGCTATAGATTTGTAGTAAGTTTTGAAATCAGGAAGTGTGAAACCTCCAGCTTTGTTTTCTTTTCCAAGATTGCTTTGCTATTCAGGGTCCCTTGAGATTTCATATGAATCTTAGGATGTTTTTCTACTTATGAAAAAAATGCTGTTGAAATTTGATAGGGATTGCATTGAATCTATAGATCACTTTGGGTTGGTAGTATTGTCATTTTAATATTAATTTGTGAATGTGGATGTCTATATCTTGTTTAATTTCTATCAGCAATGTTTTATATTTTCAATGTATATGTCTTTCATCTCTTGTTAAATTTATTCCAGTGTATTTTGAGTAGATTATTTTGGTGAATGTACATGTTGTATATGGTATGATGAAAAAGGAAACTTACAACTTGTGATTTTACAGAGTAAAATTTTCTGTCATGCATTTTTTTATAGTGATATTTCCTTAGACACTTTTATTCTGCTAATTTATTGATTCTCTGTGTTAGCCTTTGGGTGGTCATATCTTTTTACTTAAAGAAGAGTCCCTCTCTTTTTTTCTTTTAAGATTTTAAAATTGATTTATAGATAGAGAGGAAGGGAGAGGGAGAGAGAGTGAGCAAAAAACATTGATGTGAGAGCAAAACATCGATTGGTTGCCTCCTGCACTCCCCCTGCCAGAATTGAACCAGCACCCTTTCAGTGCATGGGATGATGCCCAGCCAATTGAGCCACACTGGCCAAGGCAAGAGTCTCTCTTTTTTTTTTCTTTGAACAGTTTTGGAAGTGGATGTAATACTGTTTACTTACATTTTAGGATGTATTTTTTGCTTTTAGTTTATTCTTTGGTTAAACATTTTTATTTTTTCTGACATTAAATATATTAAAAATGTTCTTATATTTGAAAAATAACATTTAAACTAGCTACTTGTAGTGACCTTAGATCACAAAAAAATTTGTTAGCAGCTCATATTTCAAATGATTCTGTTGAGAAGATTCCTTCATGCTGCTTTAAGGTTGAATTGGCCAGAATTTAGAAGGAATTGTAATCACATAGTACTGGCAACCTTTGGGCTATGAGCAAAATAATCTATTATAAAAGATATGTGGGAATTGCCCCTAAAATTAATTTTTCTCTTTCTTCTGTATAGTTTTAACTTATTCAGAGCACCAAGTTATTTAGGATTTTCAGTTGCATTGAAAAGAATTTCGGAAACAAAAGAGAAAGCATCTTGTCTTTGTACAAAACTATGGTGGCTTTATATCCTTACTATTATGCACAGTTTTCACTGTCATATTCAAGAAAGACAAGTAAAGGTAGGTAGGTAAGAAAAAAAGAGGTAAAGATAATTAGCTAATTAACTGATTGCAGGATTTAAAAGTTCAAATATTTACTAAGAAGTATTCTATGATCTTAAAATATGAAATCTATGAAAAAGCATGTGATCAAGATTATGAAATCATGAAGAATATGAATTAAGGTTAAGATAGTTAAACTAGTAGTGATACCCTGAGTCTTGAGAGAGAACCATGTAGTGAAAAGAAAATAAATGTTTACATTGTATAACAGGTGGCAAGTCTTGGAACTCAGTGAAAATATTTTTTGAAATTAGTTTTTATATGTTGATTCTAGGTCTATTAGATTTTTAAAGGGAAATTAGGAAATTGGGAGAGGGTAATATCTTTAACTTAGTTTATGGAAGTTGCCAAGAAGAATACCCTGCCCTCTTACAGAATTACCTGTCTCGATATCTTTGTTAGAGGTCAGAAAACAGGTGGTTAGCTCAGTATGCTAGTTCATCTGTCCTCGCCCTCCACAGCTCATGTTTGAAGTGATCTGAGGATGGCATTCTGTCATCTCACAATCTGTTAGCCATCAACTTTCTAATTTCAAATGGAAATACTTTTCTACCAAATAATAGGGTAGAAAAAAATCATTAATATAATTATAAAGCAGGTTAAATTCTATTGTAAATATATTATATTTCACTTATATGTCAAGGATAAATATAAGCATAATTAACCTCTTCAGGTGCCATTGCTTTGAAGTCATATGGAAAAGACCTTTTGAGGGTACTGTTTATTTTCTTTTTGACTCCATCCCAATTTGTTATTAGTATTTCTAAAATTATATACATGATTATTTTCTGCAAATAAAAACCCTTTTCTATTTTTACTTTTCTGCTCATCAGTCTTAAGGGCAATGTCTAGGAGACAGAGGTTTCCAAAAGTATGGATACAGGAAGGTATAGAGAAATAATAATGTAACCTATTATTTTTAAGTGAGTTTGTTTCTTTTTCTCTCCTTATAACTTCTTTCTGTGAACTGGATCAAAGCATATATTAGTCACTGTACTGACATTTTCAGATTTTGAAACTGTTAATCAGTTGGTTTTCATGACAGAAACCAAGTTCCTGAGATCAAATACAAGATTCTTTTTGCTCACACTCTCGTATTATTAGTAGAGCTCATTGATTTCTCTGGGACAGAAGAACTAATTTAATAGAATTAAAGAATGGATTTGGATTTTATAATAATATAGTCCATATTAATGAAAAATTTCTAGACGTTTGACCCAAAATAGAGAATTTAGTGTGAATAAGTAACCCAACATCTGTTTTTCTAGATTTGGAGATTTTTCTGTTGTACATGTATAAAGCTATACTTAATCTGTGGGTTTTGCCTTATTTTTAGACTTGACTATTTTTAGAACAGGATTTCATGTGAAGAAAAACAGAATCTTAACACAAACTTGTGGCAGTACATAAAATAAGTTTTATAATAGGTTATAAAAGTCTTATTTACATCATTTGGCTCAAGTGTTAGGTCAGATTCTTTTAACTGGTTATTCTTTTTTTAGTGTTAAAGCCAGTGATTTCATAGTATTGAAGAAACACAAGTTACTGTTCTTTTCCCTCACAACCA